CCAAGAACTCCTTGATATCATTTTTGAGTAGGGATAATCGAAGAGATGAAGTTGGCAATTTCTCACTTGGAATTCAAGCCATTTCATGAAGAACAAATTTCAAATCAGTACCTATGTTTCCTAATACATGATTTACAGATCCCAAACTTGTTTCTCACTTCATAATTTAATGCTTACTCAGTTGACAAAGCTTTAATCCAAGCCCTAGAGTCTTTATCCAAGTTGTAATTCCATAAATGGCACAAAGTTGCCATTGCCATTTTGGAAAAGGTTCACTTTTGCAACTTTACAAATATTGAGCATTGGACCTGTCCTCTCTGCACACACAAATCCTCCAGGCCTAAGGCAACTTGTATAGAGCATATACCAACCCCAAGCAAGCCAGTACAAGCATGTAAAGACTTTTCCCTTCACTTTACTTCAAAAGCAAGAAAGTGTGCAAAAAGTCTAGTACTGAAAAATCTATTGAGAAGCTGACTTGAAACCTATCCCATACTAATACACAAAGAAATTACAGTTGGGAACACGATTGTTAAGAGCCTGAAACACTCCAAATCTTCATATCACCAAAAAACTGTCAAAACTTGCAGTTTGTGCATAAGCATAGCAATCCATCATTTGGCTCATGTGTTTCATGTTTCAATCATCCAAACACTTTACCTACTTGATATCTAAGTGATCCAGACCATCATCCCTGCACTATAACTCCTTCTCCATCATCTGCCATTTTTGTTTTCCAAACTTGCAGGTTAGCTTGGATAGAGAGTTTTAGACACTTTCAAAGCAAGATAAGAGTTGGAACACACTCAGGGAAGTTCAAGCAAGCTAAAGCAACCTTCAGGCCTTCCTAAATCTCACTCAAACTCCATTCACGACCTCAGCTGAAAGTGGTAAGAATCTCAACTTCTATCTCTTCATACAGGCATCCATTGGCCACGATTTATGAATAAACAATGTAGACATCATTGCTACAAAGTTGTACATATCCATAACTTGCATTTATTTGGCCTGTGTTGAGAGAATTTTGAAGTTCAAATTCCTGTAAAAATTAGGTTTAAATTTAGGGCTTTTAAAATTCATTTTGATCTTTGATTGTTACCTTACATGATTTACATGGTTGAAATCGTGGGAATGAGTACTACCATTTTCATGTTGGAAGTTTTCATTTTCATGGAGAAATGAGAAAGTTACAGAGCTTCTGGCTGGATAGAGGAAGAAGATGAAGTACAGGGCCATGGAAGCGTTTCATGTTATGTTTTTCTTGTTTCACATAAATCAACGGATGTATAGCAACCCCAGTGGCAAGGTAGTGCGCTGGTAAGGCCCAGGTCATGGGTTTGAACCTTGGTGCTACCTTTTGTTTTTTCATACTTTTCTGTTTTCATTTTTTTGCTGTTTTGCAGGTTTGGGCCTCAACGATGGGCCTTATGTTTTTTTCTAACATCCACCTCCTGATTACTCAGGATACCCCTGACCCATTTATTTTCAATTATTTATTTTATTTTGTTTTACTTCATGAAATATTCTTTTCTTAAATATTATAAAATCATAAAAAATATAAAATTGATAAACTTTATATTTTGTTTATTTTATTTTATTTTCTCATTAAAAAATATATTCACTTAGTTATATATTAACTATTTTTCTTAATAAACTTGTAAATACAATATATTTATTTTAACTATTTTTATTCCCTTTTTTATTCATAGTTATAAATATTTATTTTGACATATAAAAACTAAAAATTTTCATAAGATATTATTTAATATTTTTAATACAAAAAATACAAACAAAAAAATACTTAAAGAACTTTATTTTTCTTTTAACAAATTGGAATTAGGGTTAATGAATTTCTAAGAGGTAATTTCCTTTTTTTCCTAATTTATTAGGTTTAGTTCAAAACTTTTTACATAAAAAAAAACAAAACAAAATCTTTTTCTTGCATATACATACCATTGCACATTTAATTTATATTGTATCTTATTTATTTAAATATTTGTACAAATTATATTTGGTTATAATAGCTTAATTAGATTTAAATTATTACAAATCCTCATTCATAATTTGTATTCCCCCTCCCATAAATTGTTGTAATAGCTTAGTAATCTTTACATTGCGCAATTTACCGCTTTACATGCCATGTTAGTAATTAGGGTTTGTATGGCAAGGTAAAAACAAATCAAATAGAAAACCATATTCCAAGACAAAATCAAAGCATGAAAATAACACACTTGCACACAAGCACCCTTAGGGTTTCTCCACTTGGTTTCCTTATACAAAAATGGACATATTATGCATGCGAAGTATCTTGGCAAAACAAATAAGTATAAGATCATAGTCCCTCGATGACGCTATTCAAAGTTGCCTTGTAAAATGATCTTAGTCCCTCAAAAAATGCTAAGATACTTTGCAACATTGCTAATCATGGTTATACGATGACCCACGCCCGTCCCATTTACATCCAAAGATAGGGTTGCTTACCAAATCAATGGTAAGACAACAATGTCAAAGGAATAGAAATGCACAAGAAAGACATTTGAGTAGGTAGATTACTTCTAGTTACTTGCTCTATTTTCAAACAACTATCCTTGCTATTTTCAAAATAAACACATACATTTCCAAACATTTTACAAACATTGAAAACATTTTCAAAAAGACAAACATCTTTGTATACATTCTTACAAACGAGAATCATTATAAAGATTGCCTAAACGAATGGCCTCTTTTACAAACTACTTTCAAAACCACACAAAGCACAATTTAAAAACAAAAGCAAGTGATTTAGCAAGTAACTAAGAGCCCATGGAAAACCATGGATGAAAAGGGTGCTAACACCTTCCCTTTTCATAATCTACCCCCCGAACTCAAGAAAACATCTCAAAGGTCTTTCCTGTGCTTTTTCACCTTTCCTTTTGGATAAAAGAAAAGTCGTTGGCGACTCTTGCTAAACCGCGACATTTGCAATCAATTGCAAAACCTTCAAGTCATTTCTCCCACCGTATCACAGTAGGGTTTTGTTTTTCCAGCGCCGCCATGATTCGATTCTAGGGTTAGAGATAAAGGGTTATAAGGAAGGGTCGGGGGAGAGAGGAGAAAAGGGTTTACTGTAAAACAAAGATGAATTGTAAAAAAATGTAAAAACAAACTATTATGTTCTATAAAAATTAACTACATGCGCGCATACTATAAGTACCGTGTTCTCTGCAAATCCTATCAATGTGATCGTAATTGGATGGCCGTAAGGACAAGTCCACTGTAACATCAATGCACCCTCATACATTCAATCAGTCCGGCCCCTCTCAAATTCTGTATGGGCCAGGCCCAATTAAGTTTAGCACTTCCATTCTATTTTTTACTAAACCAGCGAACATCAATTCACCCCCAGGCTTACTGGGCCTCAGTTCAATATATGAATTCAGGCCCTGACTTTTCACACCCCCATATTTTTACTACTTAGTAAAAAAACATACCCCTTTTGATTAATTTCAACATTTTTTTTATTTTTTTTATGTTTTGTATTATACCTATTATTATTTTTCTTCTTATTATTATTATTTATTTCTATAATAATTATTACTATTATTAATATTAATTGTTTATATATATATATATATATATATATATATATATATATATATATATATATATATATATATATATATATATATATATATATATATATATATATATATATATATATATATATATATATATATATATTATCACATTTAAAATAACTATTTCATGTAAAAACTCATGTATTATTTTTTATATTTTGCATTAAAATAATTTATAATCATGCATTAACTATGAAATTTTGCAATTAATATTATAAAAATATATATAACAAATATCAAATTCTTTTTCGCAATAAACTAATCTAAACACTTTTTTTTGCTAAAGGGTTCCAGATAAATTTTGACTAATTGCGCATTTAGTTCATAATTCCGCAATTTTTACACCCGATCATGCCATAAGCGCTGCATAGACAATGCTTATACCATAAGCGCTGCTATAGGTTTTCAAAAGAAAAAAAAATTAAAAAATTAGAGTAAGCGCTGCTAAAGGTATACCTTAGACAACGCTTACTAAAAGCGCTGCTAAAGGCCTTACCATAGACAGCGCTTCCTTTCCCTAAGCGCTGCTATAGGTTTTCAATTAAAAAAAATAAAAAAATAAGAATAAGCGTTGCTAAAGGGTATACCTTAGACAGCGCTTACTAAAAGCGCTGCTAAAGGCTTTACCATAGCCAGCGCTTCCTTTCCCTAAGCGCTGCTATAGGTTTTCAATAAAAAAAATAAGAATAAGCGCTGCTAAAGGGTATACCTTAGACAACGCTTACTAAAAGCGCTGCTAAAGGTGTGATAAAGGGTATACCTTAGACAGCGCTTTCAAGAAGCGCTGCTAAAGGTAATACCTTTAGCAGCGCTTCTTGAAAGCGTTGTCTAAGGTAATTAAATAATTTCTAAATCCCTAAATTGGTTATCAGAAACCCCACTATATAAAAAACCCCACTTTATACACGCAACTATTCATCTTCGTCTAACTCGTCTCCTCCCTCCTCACCGTCCAACCGTGGTTCATCTTCTTCTCCAACTCGCTTCGGATTCGTTACCACCATCTCCTCGTGAAGAAGAAGTTTCACAAAACCAGTTTCACTATAAGGTAAAATTTCTTCATCCTTCTAAATTTTAGATTGATAGTTGTAGTTACAGTGATTAGTTTACTCTTTCTCCAGATTCGTTCAGTTTTCTCCTTCTATTGCAATTATTTAGGTTTCTCTTAGAGTTTAATTGATTTTTTTGAAATCTTCATTGTTGTTCTCCAATTTCTAATTTTTCCGTTTGGATTTTGGAATGTTATTATGGTATGATAATTGTAATCTAAGATTCTAAATAACAATGTGTCCATGGTTGAGGGTTTTCCATTTCACCAAGAATTTATTTTTAGGTTTTGTATCCCTCTGCCTTCCAGCCCCTGTTTTGTCGTCCAAAGCATTCTCATGCTTTTATACTTTTGTTTTGCTTCACATATGTCAATTCAGTGGAAGGAATAACCGGAGATAATGTAGGAGTTTCCATTTGTGTTTGGAACAAGGGACTTGGTGATTCAGGAGATTCTGCAGGTGAAGGAGTAGTAGTTTCTTGTGGAGCTGCAGAGGGAATGATGGAAACAATTGGAGAATCTGCTATTGGAGGAGATGTTGCTGTTGTAGGAGATGCTGTAGCTGGAGAGGTAGGAGAGATTTGAGTGGCAAGTGTGTTTATTTCAACTTTCATTCCTTGGTTGCAATGCCCTATTGTTCCACAAATGAAGTATCTTTTGCCTTGTGATGTGAGAGGAATGGTTGTGGCACCATCATTGGAAGATTGAATTGGATTTGTTTGCTGGCATGACTCATAATCTGATTTTGTAACTTCAACCACATTATGGTTTGGTGGATATTGGAAAACTGCATTATATTTGGATAAACAGCTTTTTGTCTATACACATACATGTTCCTTTTTTTACCAAATGAGAAAAAACAAATCAAACCATTATTGTCCATACACATATTCTGAGAGCAAGAGTTACTGTCAAGAAACAAGGAACCATTATTGTCTTCAAATGACAAACCAATACCAGAAGATGCTGATGACCTTGATGTTGTCTGAGGATACATAAAGGAATGTTGCAAATTGGAAGCATAGCAAGAATTTTGAGAGTAGTTTTGGTGTTGTTGTGTATCAAAGGACAAAGAAGAAGTATTTTTGGTGATGGATGAGTTTGCAAACGTTGAAGCATTATTTGTTGTTGTTTTCAGAAGTTCCACAGGCTTTCTTGAATGGTTTTTTCCTCTATGCATATGTCTCTCACAGTATTTAGAATCTGGATATGCTTCTTTTGAGCATCTCCATTTCTTTCCATCTGTTCTTCTACATCTTCCTGGCTCGGGATCTATCTTTCTTCCCAAACCCATCTGCAGATAGTTCCATCCAACTGAAAAACAAAAAAATGTAGTAAAAAAGAATAGCTTCATGAACCTGTATTCTCCGATGCAATTGCATTAAAAATTGGGTCATAGAAAGTGCATTTGAGCGTAGGTAAAAAAGTTGATGATAGAGGATTAAAATAGTATTTTGATTTTGTAACCTTAAGATGTAAGACTTACAATGATGTTGTTGGGTGTTAGGCAAAAGTGTTGAAGAGAGAGTAGAGTCCAAAAAGCTTTTTCTAATGGTGAAAAGAAGATCAGGAGGAATAGAGATACCATAAGCCATGTACTTGTAAACAAGGGCTTGATTTTCAAGCTCTTGCCATTGTGAAGGAGTAAAAGGGAACTTGTTCTTGTTCATAGTTATTGATTGATTGGTATGAAGAAGTGAGAGAGGTAATGGTAATAAATAATGAATGATAATAGAATACGTGTGTGAAGTAGTAGGTATATTTATTTATTAAGGATTGAGGAGGAAGTGGAAGCATTAGATTAGAATCTTGTTCTGATGGATATAATAAAAGTAATGGTTGTGTTCTGTTGTTGTTGTTGCTCACTGCTGCTTTTGCAGCAGCTAACCTGTCTCACTGCCACCTCTTGTCTCTCTCTGACATCTCTACGGAAATCTATAAACTAATAATTAATAATCAATAAAGACATTAGGTTTGGAAGAAGATTATGAAAAGAGATCTTATTGTTGCTCCTAATTAACAAAATGTATATATATAGCATGGTGATGGATGAGTTTGCAAACGTTGAAGCATTATTTGTTGGGAAGGAGAAGAGAGAGAAGAGGATGAAGAATTCAGAGAGAGAGAGAGACAAGAGTGAAGAAAAGAGTGGATGTGTGAATGTGAAGAGTGAAGAAAGTGATGTCTTATATCAGATGATGAAGGATGGATCTCAACCCTCAGATTTATGAGAAACAATTAGAGAAATTAAGAGTGATATTGGGAGAATTAAGAGTTTGTTATGGGTGGTTTTTGTGAGCTGTTAAAAGTTCTCCAAAAAAGGCTTTGACTATTTTTTCTTGCTTCTCTCTAGTTTTATATTTTTTTGATTCAATGAGCTGGAAAAATTAGTTAAGAAATTGTTTTCTATTAGGACTATTAAGAGCCAGGGACCATTAATTTTGAAACCGTAAACCAATCGAAAGCTAGTGAAAACGAAAGTTAGTTATGAAATTCCTGTTAGAAGTTAGATGTGTTAGCTACAGTGAGGTTTTCCTGCTAGTTCTGGTTTTGGTTTTCTGCTAATGTTAGCTAAGTATCATGAATTGGAACTGGTTTGACCATGCCTAGGGCTGCATTTGGTGCATTCGGCGTGTTGTTTCTTGGATGGCTTTGAACTTGATGCACTCTACATTGTTTTTTATTTGAATTGGGGTGAATTGAATATTGTTTTTTATGGCCTTGAATGATGTAATTGTTTGGAAGAACTAAGCTGAAGCTGACTGGTTTTCCTGTTCTATTGCAAGTTTGTTGTAATGTGATCTTTCCCAACCTTCTCAAACCCTGAGAAAAGTGTTGTGTAGGTAAAAACATCCGACTTAATCCCTTTCTCCACCATTTGAATTTTAAGCCGCAATGCTTCCTCAAACAAACCACCTCTAACATAAGCAGATATCAACGAATTATAAGTAATAATGGATGCTGAGAAGCCATTACTTTCCATATCTTTAAGCACCTGCAAAGCCTCCTCGGGGCGTCTAGACTTTGCAAATACATCTACCAACGCATTATATGTAACCCTATCAGGAAAAAAACCCGCCATGTTAATCTGATCAAACACTTTAACAGCTTCATCATATAGAGAACTGCGGCGACAACAAGTGATAAGGGTATTGTAAGTATACAAATCAGGAGCAACTCCATTCGCTTTCATAGAATCAACAAGCGCATTAACACGAGACCAAGGCATACCCATTTTTCCATTAACATTCAACATGGAATTATATGTAATGAGATTAGGGGTGCAACCATCTCGTTGCATCTTATTGAAGACAGAGACAGCATCATTGTACCTACCCTTACTAGCATAAGCAGTTATCAGACAAGTATAAGCATAAACATCAATCTCAAACCCATCCTTCTCAAGAGTTCGAAGCAAAGACGCGGCAGATGAAACCCGACCCGCTTTGCCGAGGATGTTAACAATAACAGTAATTGCAGAACCGGTTAGAAGATTAGCACAACCTTGCTGGTTGCGAACCCAATCAAAAACAGCTAAAGAGAGTTCGAAAAAATTAGTTTTATATTAGGACTGTTAAGAGCCAGGGACCATTAATTTTTATTAGGACTGTTAAGAGGGACCATTAATCTTTATAAGAGCTTCACTACTGAAGGAAAAAAGAAACAAATGCTAAATCATGACCATAGAAGGTTTGATGTGTTGCAGGATTGAAGCCACTCAAGTTAAAAAGAAAATATAAAGAGTGATAGGTTACAAGAAAATACACCACGGTAATTCTCATGTTTGCTAAAATAAAAATAATTAAGAACTCACTTCTTTAGGAGCAATTTCCATGGCTGGAGTTTGCACCTCAGTTGCAGATGATTCATAAAACAAAAATAATAAACAGAAAAAATAATTAAAAGCTCACTATTTTGGTATCGGCTTCTATTACGGGAAGTATTTCCTCATCTGTGAATTATTTCTTCATCCGCATATGATATATATCCCAATACCTTTTTAGTTTGATCCTGCAACCACAAATAATGTTGGTAATAGTAAACAAAAACAATAAAACCATTCAAAGATACATAAGTTATTAGCTTGATCTCTCCCAATATCTCCAATAACGCACAATTTTTAACACAGTATGTTTTCTCCATCATACTATAAGCCACAGAGGGCCCAGTAAAGCATGTCACCATCATCCCTCCTTTGTCTTGAGTCTTGGCCAGAGCACCTCTTCTATCAAAAACGTTACATCTCATCCATTTCTCATGAGATTCACACAAAAAAATAGTAATAATAGCACCATGTGATTTATTTGGCAAGTTTGTTGTTCAAGTTTGTTGTTCAAGTTTGTAGTACAAGTATGATAATATGATTTTAGTTTGACCCCCTTTTCCTATGCATAGTTTCACAGATAATTTTGTTTAACCCCAAGAACAGATGATATGCAGTAAAAATCAAAGAAAAAAAATGCATCATACAAAACTGGAAAATATGCTTCATGCAAACCCATATGTCAATTTTAATATATCTTATATTTCAGCACATCAATTAACTGAGTTGGTTTAACGAGACTAATGAGTTTGATGTATTGTTTTTACAATGAATGATACAGGAAATCAAGATGTTAGAATAGTGCATCACCAGAATTTAAATAAGAGAATTCTACTAGCATTGATTGCTTCTTCTGCTCTTGCTGGAATCTTCATCTTCTTATTGTTTTTCTTCTTACGGCGAAATAGAAAATTAACAATCTCTGCGAGTAAAAGCCGAGGAACCTTAGGTATTATGGTTTCTATTCTCTCTTTTGAAACTTTTATTTTTATTTTTTTTTAAATCTAAGATATATTATGGACTAGTCAAAATACTTGTAATGGGTTTAATAATCTTAGATTTCTCAATGATGGGAGAAGAATAAGATAGTGGAGGATTGAGTTTGTACATAGCAGAGACAAACCGAGTCATAACAAAGCATAACTAGGAGATGTTGGAGTTACCATTCAACATGACACTTAATTTCCCTACATTGTTTCTTTTCCGTTTCTCATAATGTATGCTTAGCTCATGTAGACATGCCTGCAAGGAACAAAGGAATCACATCATGTAAATCCCCCATCTAATATTCAACTTAGTAATAGTAAAAAATAACACAAATCATGAATCAAAGAATGAGTTCACAACTAAGCTAATGTCTCTAAAATTGTAACGTTGACGATCATTGATTGAATATGTTATAGGACCACAACAATCCTCATTTCTAGAATTGTTCTAATCACATGTTTGATTTTTGTTGACAACACAGACTCTTTAACTTAGATAATAGTTAAAACCATGGATAAAAAATGGATGTGTGCCAATCGATTGTCAAAAGAGTACAAGGATGGGGTATTAGAGTTCGTTAAGTTTGCTGTTGAACACGCTGAAGACCCGAATAGAATGAAATGTCCTTGCTTGGGTTGTTGTTATGTGGGTCGGGTTGACGCAGATGGATTGAAATCGCATTTACTAATGCGCGGAATTGATCGAAGTTATACGTGTTGGATATTTCATGGTGAGAAAAGCATCGAGAATGTTGAACTGGGGGTGAAAAGTAATGCGACCTATGTTTCGTATGACAATGCCACGGATACATATGATTGTGATCGGGTTGAAGAGATTGCAGAAGCACTTGAAGAAGATCTTCAAGATTGTCCCAAAATGTTTGAGAGGTTGGTAAGCGATACGGAGAAACCGTTGTATAAAGATTGCCCCAAATTCACAAGATTGTCTGCGGTATTAAAATTGTACAACTTAAAGGCGCGCAATGGATGGTCGGATAAAAGTTTCACACAGTTGTTAGCCCTTCTGAGAGATATGCTTCCTGAGGATAATGTTCTTCCTAATCGAACCTACGAGGCCAAAAAAATGTTGTGCTCTATTGGCATGAGCTATGATAAGATACATGCATGTCTAAATGATTGTATTTTGTTTTGAAACGAATATGCATCGTTGAATGAGTGCCCAAAGTGCGATTTATCTCGATATAAGAAAAAATTATCTCCAGCGAAAGTCTTATGGTATTTTCCTATTATTCCGAGATTTAGACGCATGTTTCATAGTGAAAACGATGCTAGACAGTTGACTTGGCATGCATATGAAAGAATTATCGATGGAAAGTTTCGACATTCGGTAGATGCACCACAGTGGAAGAAAATTGATAATGATTATCCTGATTTTGGAGGAAAAACAAGAAACCTTCGCTTGGCATTATCTACGGATGGAATGAAACCGCATGGTCTTCAAAGTATCTCACATTCCACATGGCCTGTGATTATTATGATTTATAACCTACCTCCATGGCTATGTATGAAGCGCAAGTACATGATGTTATCTATGTTAATTTCTGGGCCTAAACAACCAGGGAATGACATAGATGTATACTTGAAACCTTTAATCGAAGATTTGAAGATTTTGTGGGAGAACGGTGTGGAGGTTTATGATGGATATAGGAAAGAAAGTTTAAATTTTAGGGCGATGTTGTTTGGCACAATTAACGATTTTCCAGCATATGGAAATCTATCCGGGTATAGAATTAAAGGTGAAAAAGTGTGTCCTGTCTGTGAAGATGAAACCGATACGACACGATTGAAACTTTGTCAAAAGAATGTCTTTCTCGGTCATCGTAGATTCTTAAATTCAAAACATCAATATCGTGGATGGAGAAAAGCGTTCAATGGAAATACCGAACAACGTAGAGCTCCACCTAGATTGACAGGTGATCAAATTTGTGAAAAGGTGAAAGATGTGAGTATTCAGTTTGGAAAGCCTTTTGCACATAAAGTTGTCACAGGTGGGTGGAAGAAGAGGTCATTTCTTTTTGAATTGCCATATTGGAAATCTTTGTACGTAAGACATTTTCTTGATGTTATGCATATTGAAAAAAATGTATTTGAAAGTGTTATTGGTACGTTACTCAATATAAAAGGAAAGTCTAAGGATGGCCTTAAAGCAAGAGAGGACATGGTAGAGATGGGAATAAGAACTGAATTAGGACCCATGAAGAAAGGAAGACGAACATATCTACCACCTGCTTCTTATACACTATCTAGAAAGGAAAAGAAAATATTGTGTAAGTTTCTGAGTGAAGTTAAAGTTCCAGAAGGTTACTCCTCAGACATTAGAAGACTCGTGTCCATGAAAGACCTCAAGTTAAAGAGTCTGAAGACACATGATTGCCATGTCATAATGGAACATTTTCTACCAATATGTATACGTTCTATTTTCCAGAAAAAGTAAGAAGCGCTATAACTAAATTGTGTTTTTTTTTCAGGTCAATTTGTAGTAAGGTGATCGATCCTGAGATCTTACCAGTATTACAAAAATAAATCGTTATTACTCTATGTGACCTTGAAATGTATTTTCCTCCATCATTTTTTGACATTATGGTACATCTTGTTGTTCATCTTGTGAAAGAGACACAATTGTGTGGACCTGCTTATATGAGATGGATGTACCCTGTTGAATGTTATATGAAAATATTAAAAGGGTACGTGAAAAACCGAAGTCGTCCAGAGGGTTGTATCGTTGAGCGATATGTTGTTGAAGAAGTGGTTGAGTTTTGTACTGATTTTTTGTCCAATGTGCAATCCATTGGACTCCCCAAATCTCATTTTTTCGGAAAAAAAGAAGGTAACAAATTAATTGGAAATGAAATTGTGACAGTATCAAGGGATGAACGAGATCAAGTGCATTTGTATGTTCTACACAATGACACTGAGGTTGAGCCGTTTGTTGAAATGCACAAGGCTATACTCCGAGGTGAGAATCAATGTAGAAATGAAAATTGGATAGTACGAGAGCACAATCAAAGTTTTATACAGTGGTTTAAGGATCATATATATTCAAAGTTTCATTCAGACCCCGCTTCAATATCAGACAGGTTTAGATGTTTGACATATGGTCCAAGTTCGATTGTGTTCTCTTATAGAGGATACAAAATTAATGGATACACATTTTATACCAAATAACAAGATGAGAAAAGTACCATGCAAAATAGTGGTGTCACGGTGGTATGTGAAGCAATGCACATTTCTGGTATGAAGGACTTAAACCCCAAATATGAAAATTTGTCATATTTCGGGGTTATCAATCACATCTGGGTGTTTGATTACGAGAAGTTTCAGATTCCTATCTTTGGTTGCAAGTGGGTACATACTAGTGGCATACGAATGGATAAGTCAGGGTTTTTGCAAGTGGATCTTAGTAGGGTGGGGTACAAAGATGAGCCTTTTATTCTAACCTCTCAAGCTAAACAAGTGTTCTATGTCACAGACCCGAAGAGTACGAAATGGTCTATAGTGCTTTTATCTAACAAAGTGATTGATGATAAAAGTGTGGATCAAGTTGATGTTGATGTTGAGAATGAGTCGTATATTAGAAACGATCGAGATGATGATACTACAGCGGATGAATCATAAATCAAAAAAGATCATGATGAGGGAATTTGGATCAATCCCTCCGTCCGTGTTGTTAAGAGACAAGTAATTCGGAATCCAACCAAGAAAAGAAAGAGATGTTAGTGAAAGAGGTAATATATATTCCTCCATACCTGTTAACACTTAGCAAACTTCTAATAAATTATATATTTTTCATTTTATATACTCAATTGATATTTGTCATTTTATATACTCAATTGATATTTGTCATTTTATATACTGAATTGATATTTGTCATTTTATATACTGAATAGATATTTGGAATTATATATTTGGAATTAAATATTTGTCATTAGATACTAATGTTTTTCTTTATTACAGGTTAGATGGCTAGTAACGAGGAGCACCCTCACGATGATTATATTAATGATGGAGACAATGATGGAGGAAAATCCAGTAAGGGAGTGGAAAAAGAAATAAAAAGAGGAAAAACTATTATGAAGAATATCATTCGTGATAGAGATAGGGGTATAAAATATGATGTGCATTGGAGTCCAAATGACCAATTAATTGAGCCTAATGGTTCTAAATTGACAAGTTACATTGGCACACTTGTAAGGAGAGAAATTACAATAACTTGTGATGAGTGGAGAGATGATAAGCTGAATGATGCTAAAAACAAAATCTGGAGTGAGATACAGGTGCTTTAAATTATGTCTTTAAATTACGATTATGTACTTTAAATTATGTCTTTAAATTACTTATACTAACGCACTTTGTGTATGTTTTTTGTAGAGGTCTTTCAACATTGATGACAAAAGAAAAGATTATTGTCTTGGATTGGC